GGGATTGGAATTGCCCTATCTTTACGAGCTTGGAGTAGGCACTCTTCTGAAAAGTGTGTGTTGATGTCCAACATGAGTGCTTAGCTTTCCAAATCACAGAATTACCATTATCCAGCCTGGAACCTTCTCCAGACGGAGCAGCTGTAAGATGGTGGTGCCACCACCAGCATAGGTCCCTGAATCACTGTGTGGAGCACTACACACCTCTTGGTGACCTGCACAGGAAGAGGGGCAAAAATAAATTCTCCTCTCTGGTCATTAAGATCACTATTATTTAATGCAGAATAATGAAGTCGAATCAGGTGAGAATTTCAATCTGCTCCAGGTTTCAGACCATGCATGGGGAGCATGGAAACCCACAAAGTTGAAATGACAGAAGGTGGGGTTCAGAGAGATGAGGCCACAGGAGTTTTCAGGGCAGAGTCCTGAAAATGAGGTAATGATGCGGGGAGGGGAGGGGAGGGGAGGGGAGGGGAAGGGAAGAAAGGGGAGGGGAGGGGAGGGAAGGGGAGGGGAAGGGAGGTAAGGGGAGGGGAGGGGAGGGAAGGGGAGGGGAGGGGAGGGGAGGGGAGGGGAAAAATAATACGTGATAATTATATCAAGTATTGTTGAAATTGTAATGCTTATAAATGTAATATCTAAAAAAAAGGTGTCCAGAGAAAGGTAGAGAACTACATCTAGACATACAGCTATACACGGACAGACATAGAGCTATATGGGGGTAATATTACTATACCTAACTGAATTAAGTTATATGAATCTGTAGCTGACTCTGATAATTTAAGATGCACATAGTAACCCCAAGTCTACTCATTAGGGTGATTAGTTAATATAGTATGCAAAATATCAATTGAAAAAGTAAACACTACATTAGAAAACACTTATTGCAAAAGAAAGCAGTAAAAAAAAATACAGAAATAAAAGTGCCATCAAAAATACGAAACCAAAAGTAAAATGACAGACATAAATTCAACTGTATCAATAACAATACTAAATACGAATCAATTCAACAATAAAATCGAAAGGTACAGGTGGTGAGACTGACAAAAAACAAGATCCAGCCGTTTACAGGTGGTGAGATTGACAAAAAACAAGATCCAACCGTTTACAGGTGATGAGACTGACAAAAAGCAAGATCCAGCCATTTACAGGTGTCACGCTTTAAATTCAAAAATACAATAGATTGAAAGTTAAAAGATATAAATAGATACATCACGCAAATAGAAAGCCCGAGAAAGCTATACTAAAATAGCTATACTAATATCAGACAAAAAAAATTTTACACACCAAAAAAGTTAGTAGATATAATTAGGAAAATATGACAACAAAGAAAGGGCAGATTCATCAGTAAGAAAGGACCAGGATGACTGTGCATGCACCTAATAAAATATCGCCAAAATAACTGAAGTAAAAAGCAACAGAAAGGAAGACAGGAATACAAAATTCAAGGACAATGTTGAAGACTTCACTGCTCCACATCCAGTAATGGTGAGAATAACTATACCGAAAAGCAACACGAAAAGGGGACACAAGCAACTTTTTGGTTCCACTAGACTTGAAAAACATAGACAGAACGTTCTACCAACAACTGTAGAATATACAGTCTTCTCAACGGCCCAGAACATTCTCCACAATAGCCTCTACGCTAAGCCATTAAACAAACCACAGTACATGTATGTGAAAGGACAGGATTATACACAGTATGTACATCAATCATAATACAGTAAACGTGGAAATGGATAACTTAAAAGAAATTTGGGAAATTCAAATAAGTGGAATTAATTAACACTTCAAAATTATGGAAGAGTCAAAGAAAATATCAAAAGGAACCTTAGAAAATACACCGATGACTGAAAATGAAGATGCAATATACACAATTTTTGGAAGGCAACTAAAAAAGGGCTTAGAGGAAAACTTGTAGCTGTCAATATATTAAGAAAGAAAAGTGATCTCAAGCCAATAACCTAAGCTGCTCATGCTAAGACAATTTTTAAAAGAGCAAACATAATCTAAAGTAGGCATAAAGAAGAAAATACTAAAGATAGCAGAAATCAGTGAAATGGGGAATACACAAACACTAGAGAGTAATGATGAACTAAAAACACATTGATAAAAGATCAACAAAATTAAAAACCTTTAGCTAGACCAAGAAACAAAAAGAGAAGTCTCAAATAACCAAAATAAAAAATTAAAAGGGGGAATTTACTACCAAGTTTTAGGAAGTAAAAGAATATTTAAAGAATAATAATATGAACAATGGTATATTGATATATTAGCTTATTTCAATGAAATGGAAGAATTCCTAGAAGCACATAAGCTGCCAAAACTGAGTAAAGAAAAAAGTAAATTACCCGACTGGAACTATCATAAGTGAAGAGATTATACTTAAAAAGAATACATATCAAGAAAAGTTATTGTCTAGAAACTTGACTGATTAATTCTACCAAACATTTGGAGAATATTTGATATCAAACCTTCCTAAACTCTCCAAAAAATAGAAGCAATAGAGATACTTCCCAACTCATCCTACGAGGCAGGATTATCGTGATGCAAAAACCCTGCAAAGGTATCACAGGCAAAGAAAAATTCAGAGCGAAGCAGCTCATGAATGCAGACGCAGAATCCTTCAAAAAATGCAGGCAAACAGAATCGAGCAACATACAGAAATAATCATACCACATAACCAAGGCAGATTTACGCCAGGAACAGAAGGTTGCTAAAAGCCAGAATTCATTTAATAGCAATACACCATATCAATGCAATAGGAGACAACACCACGTGACCATCTCAGCAGATGTAGAGAGTAAATCCGACAAACTCCAACAGCCTTTCATGATGGAAGCATTCAACAAAGTAGAACTAGAGAACATCCTCAACCTGATAAAGGGCATGTGAAAAACTCACACCTAACATCATGCTCAATGGTGACAGCCAGTATACTTATGTTTTACGATCAGGAACAAGACAAATGTATCCAGTGTCACCACATCTATTCATCGTTGTACTGAAGGACCTAACTAGGACAATTTGACAACAGAAATAAATAAGAGTCATCTAAATTGGAGAGGAAGACGTTCAACTAGCTTTACTCCCAGAAGACATGATCCTGTTTTTAGAAAATGTAAGGAATTCACTAAAAACTATTGGAACTAATAAATGAGTTCAGGTATATAATGGGATAGAAGATGATGTACAAAAATCCATTGTATTTCTGTACACAAGAAATGAACAATCAAAATTAAATTCAGGAACAAATTCTAGTTGTCATAGAATCAAAAGCAAAATACTTAGGAATATCTTTAACAAAGGAAGTATAAACTTGAACACTGAAAACTACAGCACATGACTACTGGGTATTATGCTTGGTCTCCTCTCCTTGGTTCTGAGGACTTCCCCTTCACAGGGGCAAGAGAAGGATCGTATTCTTGGACTTGTTTTATTACAGCTGGGCTTGGGGTGAGGTCTGCACAACCAAACGCGTATTACTGTTTCCATTTTTATGAATGGAAGACTGAGGCCCACAAAGAGAAAGATGGCCATCCATATCAATGGATGGTAGAATATCAGGCACTGGTTCCACCCACCAAACCCCTGCCAATCAACCTTTATTTAAAGGATCCCCAGATATCACACCAATAGACGTTTAAGAGAAGGGCCTGGGATCCAGGAGCCCAAGAAACAAGCACAGAGCTTCCAAAGTCTGAGGCAACAGGAGGATCAAGACAGAGTTCAAAAGAAAATCAAACACCGCATGTTCTCACTCATATGTGGGTGTTGAACAATGAGAACACATGGACACAGGGAGGGGAAGCATCACACACTGGGGTCTATCAGGGGGAAATAGGGGAGAGACAGCAGGGAGTGGGGAGTTGTTGAGATAGCATGGGAGAAATGCCAGATATAGGTGATGGGGAGGAAGGCAGCACATCACACTGCCATGTGTGTACCTATGCAACAATCTTGCATGTTCTTCACATGTACCCCAAAACCTAAAATGCAATAAAAAAAAGACTCAGTTCCCTAGATCTGCAGAATAGTCACTAAGGGCAATTGTAGGATCAGAGAACATACAGAAATTTGAACAAAGCAGGACATATCTTAAGAAAAGAGAAAATCAGCAATAGGTTTAACAAGTGGCAAGCCTCTCACTCCTCTGTGCCCCCACCCCCAAAACTTCACCTCCATTTCAGCCCCCATCCTCTTTCCACCACTCAATCCCATAGCAACCCTCATTACACAAGCCACATCTGCCTGCCTGAAGAGGAGTTCTGATGGTAGCTGGAACTCTGAGGAAGCCTATACAGAACTCCATGCCTAGCAGGTGGCAAAAGCCAGGACAGAAAGGCAAAGTTCAAGTCCATCTCACCAAGAAAACAACAAATAAAGATTGGATGGATGGATGAATGAATAGACGGAACTTGGGAGATTTTGGGTAAATAATTATCAGACTCTAGAAGAGTATATGGGCACAAGGATTGTGGAGTGTGCCTACCCTATGACCCTGCTATTGTATTATGAATATACAGTAGAGCTTTTCCCCTACTGTGTAATACAACCCATGGAAAGCTAACAAGTAACTTTAGTGAGAACCAACATCCTTTAATGGGTTGGAAGAGACTTGGCATTATAATTTCTTAGTAATTTGTTAAACTTGAAGTAAAATAAAGACTTTATAGAATGCATCTATAAAAAACAGCAATACCTATATCAGATTTTTTTAAAGGAGATTACTTAATGTCATTGACTCATTGGCCCACATTCGAATTTCCCCACAATTACCACAATGTTCCCGGTTGTCAGACTAGGATTTAAGAAAGACCCAGAGCTGCGCGACGCCGTCAGGTGGATCGAGACCAGCCAGGATCCACTAGGTCCGGGTCTCCCTGGTAACCGTGCTCACAGCTGGTGAATAACACTTCCCACGTGGGTTGCTAACGGGGTCGCAGGGTTTCCTGGGAAACGCAGCCTCCCCACCAATGACGTCGCAGCCCAGGACCATAGACAGGGAGCTTCCGGTGGCTGCTGCGCATGCGCCTCCCTGCCCACGCCGCCATCTTCCTCCCTGGAGCTCCGGGCCTCCATTTCTTGTGCCTCTGCCCTGCGAGGCTGGGGTTGGATTGGGCTTCTCTTCGGGTGTGTACACACGGTGGAAGAGGAGCCCGTGGGCCTCGGGGGTCCCTGGAGGATGGGATGGGGATCCCACTACTTGGTGGGAGCGGAAACGTGGGTGGCCTTCAGGGGCGCACCCTTACGTGCAGGTGCGGGCCGGGGCCCGGGAGTGGGGGAGTGGGGTGGCTTCGCGATGAAAAGGCTGCGTCCAGAAACTCCTCCGACTGGCATCAAGCACCCGGGGCCCGAAGGAGCCTGCCACTGCCCAGCGCGTCCGCCGCCATCCGCCCCTGGAGTGCCCTGGGGAACTCCAGTGCTGGGGAAAAGCCAGGTCCTCCAGCGATAGTAGCAAAGTCAGTGCACGCTGAGTCTTGTAACAGCCATTTGTGTTTGTGGGGTTTGATGGCGTCTCCAGCAGGTGAAGTTTCTGGCCCCTCCTGCACTGTGTAGCCTGCCCAGCATGCCTGGCTGAAGTTTACGGACGTCTCTACAGGATCTGCTTTCCAGGGAGGAATTCTACAGGGAAGATGGGGTGCTGGATGATGACCCCGTTGTCTTTGGAATAAAGTAGGCATACCACACTTGGAAGGAGAGCCCCTATGTATGGGACTCCCCCCTGAAAGAGCATCCCTCTAGCCGGAACCCTCTCACAGGTGCTTCAGAGCCGAGTCACAGAAAGGCACAGATCCTAGTTTTGCATGACCCCAGCAATTATTGATCCTACTCCCTAGAATGCACAGGATTTGATTGATAATACCTCATTCAATAGCTATTAACAACTGAGTGCTTTTGGAAGGTTTAGACCGATTTTTAGAAGGGAGTGGTGAGTTTAGCTGAGAAGAATAAGCAGGGGCCTAGGAAATGTTACTTATAGGAGGGGCTTGAAGGTGTGGTCTGGGGTGGAGGAATGACCTGTCCTACCATAGACAGTCCCATTCCTTCAGTCTCGCCTCATTGTCCCATGTCTGAGCTGTCTTAAACCTAGCCTAGCACCAAATTTGGTATCTGCAAATATGTTATGCCCCCTCTGTCCTGATAGTTCTTCCTGGTAGTTCAGGAAAAGTTTGCCAAGGTATTTCTACCTTAGATGGAACAGTTGGCTTTGAGAAGTTTTTTACTTGTCCAAGATCACTTATCTGTAGATGGTAGGCATCCTGACCTTTTCACTAGTGTTACTTATTTTGCCACAAGTCAAAACAAGTGTTTGTTTACTTCTGAGATGATTTTTGTGACACTAAAGTCAATATAGAACAAACATTGCTTTAAAATATTTTGCCTTAAAACATCTCTATCCTTTTTTATCCCCAACACTTTCTATGGATTACGTGACTTCAAAGAGCTTCTTTTGAGGAAACACAAGTGTTTACCACTTCATGTCAGTAATATGTTCTTTAAAAATCATAAATTCTGCATGAAAATAATGGAAGCTTATTTGACATTGATATGGGAAAATTAGACTGTGTCGTACTGCTGCTCTAAACCTATTTCTTAAAATTTTATAAAGTACGGTCCTCCCTTGTAACAGACTCTTTTTATGTTTTGTGATTTTTTTTTAAGTAAACAGATTTTGTTATGATACAAAAACCTTAAAACATAAGTGGCTTTCTGAGGTGCAAACAGTTACTTTATATGATTCACATGGTCTCTATTAGTGGCAGCCACCGACCTCACTGAAGTCCATGCATTTAATATCCATCGTGATTTTCAGAATTTCTATGTGTGGTACCAAATTGCTGTTGATTGTATTCGACATATATATATTAAGACTTTTCTTCCTCACATAATTTTCTTAGAAATCTATAGAGAGTTCAACGGCTTCTATGAATCCGCATTTGCTGTATAAAGGACTAATCAGACCTTGGTAGCTTAAGAAAACAACAGGCATATTTGTTGACGCTTCCGTGGATCTGTACTGTGTGACGGGTTCATCTGGGCAGTTCAGTTTCTGTGTTAGTGTTTCTTGGGTCACCTGGGGCTTTGACTGAAGCTGTTTGGCTTCCGTTGGCTTCATTTGCATGTCCTGTGGTTTGTGCTGGCTCCCAGCAGGTAGCTCAGGCTTCGTCACAGTATGACTGTGTCCAAGAAGGCAAGCACCGTTAGGCAAATGCTTTTCCAATCTCTAGTTGCATCACATTCGCCTGTGTCCCATTGGCCAACGCAAGTCAAAAGGCAAAGCCCAGTTCATCATCAGAGCACATTGCGTGAGGTCTTGGATACAGGGAGCCTTGTCACTGGGAAACTACTACCACAGGTTACAACAAGAAATATTCAGTAGGTATTTTTTTTCCGATAAAAACATGGGCAAAAAAATGTTGGCTCGCAAGATCCATGCTGTGCATTATATACAGATACATCAAAGCAAGACATGTTATAGTGGAAATACTATATAGAGTCCTGCATGGAATCCACATATTCACAGGAAAATAGTACAGCCAAGTTTATTTCTATTACTGTTAATTTTAGTGCCAGGATAATGTTGATTTCTCTAGTTTAAATTGCTAAATTATATCTTTAGGTCACATTCATTGGTGCTAAATTAGTAAGTAAAGTATGTTATCATTAACCCCAAAATAAAATGTATATCTAATGTCAATCAATTAATGTACTTGTAGATGCATTTTTAATGGATCTTGGTTTTCCATTATTTGATGTGTACAGGACTGATCTCCCCCAGGGAGCTTCCTGTTTGTGGTTTTTGTTGATGTAATTGTTTTCTTTTGGGGGAAAGGAGTCATTTTCCAGCTGTGTATAGAGCTTTGGACACAAGAATCTAGGACCAAGCCGCACCAGTTCCCTCCATAACCCACTACATTTACCGTCTCTCAGAATGTTCCCAGAGTCCATCTACTATGTGTTTTCAAGAGCAACAAAACTAAATGTCCAGTGAGTAGGGATTTTTTTAAATTTATTCCTCGCTTTCTTTTACATTGTATTATGGGTTAAAGTGGAAAAGTAGAAAAAAGTAAAACAAAACTTGAGGGAAATTGACCTAATAAATAAGATAAAAATAACCTTTAAATGTGGGCAGATTATACGACCTTCGAGTTTTTGTCTAAATTGAGTACAAATTTGCTCTGATCTTTCTGATGCCATGGTAAAAAGGCAGTCATGTTTGTTCCCTGATTGGAATTGAACTTAGGAAGAGACCATGCCACATTCTCATGAGTCATGAAGACTTGCTGGCACCAAAGTCTGAAACTGACTTCATTGGTCACACAGATGATGTGGTGGAAACTTTTTCACTATCGACCTGGAAGGTAAACACCTTTTCACATTCTGCAGCGGGAACAGTTCCCTGGTGCTAAAACACAGCTTCCAGGATAAGGTATTTCTGGAGTTACTGAAATATGTTGTCCCAGATAGGTTTTGGAAGGTCAAACTTAATTCATAAGTAAAACCTGGAACATCTGGGGGACTGAGTCAGTCACAGATCCTTAAGTAGTGGAAAGATCCATGCCTTTCACTCAGTTCATCTATATACGAGGCGTACAGCAGACTGTTCAGCGTTCTCTTTTCTGGCACATATCCCAGCACAATGTGATCTCAATCCATTTTCTCTAAAACATACCAATAACCTAAATTATAGTAAAATCCAGTGACTATTATCTAGTCTATGCCTTACTTGAATCTTTTGCTGTATTTGAAACCACTGTTCATGATCTGGTGGAAATTCTTGTGTTCATTCCTGTCATGAGCTCACTGATCATTTCTTCTCTTTTTCCCTGAATTATTCTACTTTCTTCTCCTTAATGTGCCTCATGCAAGTGTACCATCCCGTTCCCACCCATCCCACTCTCCAGTTCTCCCTGTCTCACTCAGCCCTCTGTCATTTGGCAGTCCTGTTTCTCTCCGGCTTTGATGTCTTCCCCAGCCTTTAGACCACAGGGTCAACTCCCTATTAAATGCTTCTCTGTAGCTATCCAAAAGGCACCTCAAGACCAACAAATCCAACATGAAAACCACATTCTCCATTATTCCCTTATATATGGTATTACCATATAGCCAGTGACCCGAACCCCTGTTGCTTCTGGAACCCTCTCTTAGTGTCAGCTGCTTACCTCATCTTACCTCGTCTAGTGTCACTGCTACTTACGTTTATTTGTTCTTTGTCTTTCATTCTAATACCTATATACAGTGCCAGTTCAAGGGGAGGAGCTGCTTTGTGATTTGGTGCTCACAAGCATCAGTAAGCTTGTTACATCTGAAATGTCATTCTTGGCAAAGCCTTAAGGGTGCGTTTTCTGGGTGATGAGGTTCAGTCCATGGTGAACCTTGCTTTTAGCCAGCACATGTGACATCCTTCAGATTACCCTGGGAAAATCATTCGGGAGTTACTGGGATGCATTAGATTTCAACTACAGGAAGAGGAATAGTAAGATTTGCACGTCTTTAATAAACCACAGTTTGCCCTCTGGCCACATATTATTTACATTTCTTCCACCTGCAAAATGCACTATGCCCCTCTGAAGAGCCCCAGAAATCTTTTCATACTATGCAGCTGGCCGAAAGCTTATCCAAATCAGGTACTGGTGGCCTGTTCTGCCCCTCCACCAACAGCCAGCACAGAGTGAGAATAAGGTGGGCCCTTCCCTTCCACCTGCTCCAGTTCATTGATTAGGAACCAGTCCTAACATGCTTCATGCCTGTTCACTCCGGGAAACATGCTTCACACCTGTTCACTCTGCCCTCTGGGCTCCCGCCATTCTCCACGTTCTTTTTCCCTAATTCCTGGGTTTGCAGTTGACCAACTTTTTCCACCTCCTTTTTGCTTACTGTAATTTAGGAATCCAGCAACCTCCTTTTCATATTCTTCTAATTCTGGACTTTTGATACAAGAGATTATTCTGTGTGAACATGTCTTTGAAAAACACAAGCTTCCTGTGAACCAAAATCCATTAGACCAAAATGACCCTATCCCGAACACACACACACACACACCCCAAGACAGACCTCTCGGTCTCTAGCCTCCCTCCTCTCTGAGGCCACTTGGGAATACAGCCTTAGAAGCCCTGCCGTTGCCAGGCACACTTTTGTCACACTCCAAGGTCCTTAAAATGCTGGAAATAACTTTGACTTTTCATCTTTTTACAAAAACACTGGGTTTCATCTTTGCCAAGGAGTCATTTCTTTCCTTAAAATGTTTCGGTGGGAAAAATCAAATATGAGAAACCTTTTTATTTCAAATCCAGGCAGTTCTGGCTCACTTATATTTCCTCTAAGCTCTGTTTGAAGACTGAATTACTTTTTTTGGATCATCTCTATCTTCCTGTTTTCTCAAAGGCAGAGGGAGGAGACAGGTAGCTCCTTTTACATTCTTTCCATTCATCTACTTAGGCAGACCCCTGACATGGTGAGATGCTCTCTTAATTCTACATGTTACAGCAGGCAGTCCTGCTGCCCACAGTTCTTCAGTTTGCAACCCAGCCGCCTTTTTCTTCAGCTTCCAGTATGATTTTTCTCACTGTACTTCAACCCTTACCAAGAGTCTTGACACCCTTCCACCTTCCATGCATGGTCTCCTTGAGGCGCCGCTTCTGCTCAGGCTTAAGTCCAGTGCTGCATGTCACAGCTTCTTATTACCACAGCACCCAATTGCAGCTGCCAAATTCTGTTCCTGCTGTCTAATCGGCTTTAAACAGGTTAGAAACTGCCCCTGAAACACCGCGGTTTCAAACAGTTTACTAGTACTTCTGCTTCTTTGACTTACGGAGTTTCTGCAGGCTGGCTTGTCTCACCCACAGGTACAGTAAGTCAGCAGCTATGATGGGTCATCTGAAAGCACAGCTGGGCTGGTGTGCACGGTGGATCACTGGTAGCTGGTAGTGGGTAGCTGGAGGCTTGGTGGGGGCTGTCAGTGAGCATGTAATGTACATGTAAGATATATACGCACACACACACACACACACACGAGGGTGAATTCCCAGATACCTCTGTGACCTGGGGCCAATGACTTGAGAAATGTGCCTTTACAGGGGTTGGTGTCCCTTGGGGATACGGCTGTGGACATTACCTAGGACAAGTGGCAGCATCTGGACAATGCTCAGAGGACCCTGTACAGAGACATGATGCTGGAGGCCTATAGCATCCTCACATCATTGAGTGAGTGAAACTTTCCAGTAACTCCAAGGAGCAATACTTCATTCTTTCTTGGTAAATATAGGAACCTGCATAAGTTTACTACTATTTGGGTACAGGATTCCAGGTTATGAAGAATGTGAGTGTCACCCCTCTTCAATTTTAACTCCAAGGTTAAAATTACAGCTCCTGAAGCCAAGCTGTTGTCATTCTTCAAAGGTCCTGACTTAGCATTTTGACAAAGTCTTACATTCCCAAAGCTGAAGTGATCTTCAAGATGGAGCAAGGGACAGAGCCAGGGAGGGTAGAGGAAGCCCCAGTCAGAGCCTCTCAGGTCTGTCAGCATGTGCTGGGCAGGACGCTTGGAGCAGTAAAGCCCAGCAGATGCCAACTTGTTTTCACCAATTTTTACCCAGGTCCTAGACCTGAGGACAGTTAGTCTGCATGCACCAAACCCGTGCATTATACAGACCCCAAGAACACCTCTCATACATATAACCCAGCCTTTTATTTTGCTGAATAGTGTCTTATATTTGCTCAAAACCTACTTCCTGCCTTCCTCTCCTTAGACATTTTCCTTTGCTTTTTATTTTCTCCATATTCTCAGTTGCCCTACTTTCCTCTATTTGCATGGATGGGTTTTTTTCATACAACCATTTATTCTTTCAACACGTCTTAATTCAGCAGGTTTTAAGCACTGGTAATTTTGTAGTTATAACCATGATCAAAATAATGTTCCTTTTTCATGGAGTTCCTGTTCTGATGAGAAAGAAACAAAACGATATATACTAGGTGGTTTAGGAAGCACGAGAAATACTTAACAAGAGTGAGAAAAAGAAAGAGTAATAGGAAGTGAGAATTTAGGAAGAATGGTCCGAGAAGGCGGCTTCAGAGTTACCATTCTTTACTTTGGCATAGATTCAGTTTGCATTAACTCTTCCAATTTTGACATATAATAGGTGAATATCACATATAGTCTCGAGAGTAGGCTATTTGAGATAGAAATTTGGAAATGAGTAGTTTAAGGCTGTTATTTAACATCATACTTAGAAAGAAAGTCACCTAGAGAGTTGCTAAGAAAATGAGGAGTCTGGAAGTGAACCTTGTGTACCACACCATCAGAAGCATGAAGCTGAGGAGCACCCAGCATGGAGGATACAAAGGAGTGGTCCTTGACTTGGGTGGAGAATCAGGAGATTCTGCATCCCAAGGACAAGTGATTCAAGGCTTTCATGTTGAAGAGCTCAGATTTATTTTTGGGAGTAGAGTTTGAAGTCAGTGTTCTCCTCTCCTATTACTAGAAATCATTCTGAAACAACAAAAAGAATGTGAAATGTGTGGGAGACATATTTTCTATGAAACTAAGAACTCAAACTCCAGCACAAACAATAAAAGCCTTCAGAAACAGTGAATTATCACGCAGCGGTGTGTGGACTAGAAATGTAAAGAGGATGTCAGGGAAATGTATCTCACAAGGAACCGGAACTACATGCTTTCATTTGGGCACAGCCCAGGTTGCAGAACCAAAACCTGTAGAGTATCAGGGAGAGGGTGCCCAGGGTGTGGACTGGAGCTTCCTGTACCTGTTATGGTTCTGAGAAGCAGAGGAGGGTTGTTACATTAGGTAGTTGTGGGAATGCGTCTTTACCTAGCATAGGGAATAAGCGATTTATATTTGCAAAAACTCAAATGCCTGTATCCATTCCCAGGAAGGGGTGAAGACTGAAACATAGATGGAAAATCCTGTCCCTAAGTTATATGCTTGCGTTGGATACAGACTAATGGCCTTCCCCTGTACCTGCAGGTAGCTGATCCACGGAAATGTGGCCGAAATCAAAGCGGAAGAATGGAAAATACCAGCCCGAGACGCCCACGTTGTTATCAGAATAAAACAAAAAGAAGTGAGAAAACAAATGGCAGGTGAAGAGCACTTGGGTGAAAACTATCACTAAGCAGTAGGTGAGTATAATTAGCAGATATTTCTTCATGAATTAAAAAGAAAAGGAAAACACGGTGTAACATTGGAAAATATATTACCGTGATTCAATGCATTAAGTCAGTAGTAAGGGAAACCATCTATTTATAAAACCACTACCAAAACCAGGAGGATAGGAAATAACTTCTTTTTCCTTACATGAGAACTCCATAAGAAACGGATAATGTGTGACTCATGGATGTGGTTTTTCTTTTCTCTCATTTCAGATGTTCAGATAGTGGATGACCTAATTGAAAGGGGCCAAAAGAGTCACGGTGGATGCTCGTGGCAAACTGTCATCAGCAACGGCATTACATCAACTAAGGAGAGAGCTGAATTAGGAAAAACATTTCATTTGAGCTCAAAGGACATTTTAATTTAGATTATAAATCATGGAAACTATTTGGGAAGGTGGCCTGAGGAGTTTATCTAAAAGCATGCTTCTCCTTAGTGAGCCTGGTGAGATGCAGGCTGGAGAGAAACAATGCCTGTAATGTACCTGAGGAATCTCACAGGCATCATGAGTACCTCTGTCGGCATCACAAGTTTCAAACTGGGCTGCAGTATTTGGAATATGGTGGACATGGGAAGGCCTTCAACGCAGAGGTGGCAATCATAAGAGGGTTCATATTGGAGGGACCTCCTGCAAGGATAGTGGATATGGGAAAGCCTGTGATAAGTCAGCTCTTGTTGCCCAACAGAAAACTCAGGTTGGGAGCAAAAGTTGCCTTAAAATATTTAACCTTCCTAAACATCAGCAAATACAGGACAAAAATTCTATGAATGTACTGAATGTGAGAAAATGCTAGTTAGAAAATCCAATCTTATATAGTACATCAGAGGACACATACAGGGAAAATCTGTGCATTCAGCCAGTGTGAGAAATCCCTCAGCCATAAGTCAGGCCTTGAAATCCGTGACAGAATTCATACAGGGGAAAAGCTCTACGGATGTAATGAATGTGGGAAAACCTTTTATACATCACAGAATTCGCACAAGAGAGAAAGCCTATGAATGTAACAAGTGTGGTAAGACCTTCTGTGAGAAGTCAGCCTTCAGTGTACATCAGAGAACTCTGACAAGGGAAAACCCCTATAAATATAGTTAGTGTGGGGAAACCGTTAGCAAGAAGTCAAACCTCAGGATACTCGGTACTCATGCAGGTTGACAAACCACATGATGTAAAGAATGCAGGAAAACTGTCTACCAAAAGTCAAAACACTGTATATCAGAGGTCTCCCCCAGCAGAAAACGCCTATGGGTAGAAGGAAGGTGGGAAACCGTTTCACTGCAATTCAGTCCTCACTATGTATCAGAGAACTCACAGAGGGGAGATAAAAACCCTATGCATACAATGAGTGTGGAAAAACCTTTTTTCACAAGTCAGACCTATGATTCATGAGAGAACTCACACATGTGAGAAACCATATGAATGTGAACATGTGGAAAAACGTTCCCACCGAAGTCAGTCCCCATAGTACAACAGAAAATTCACTCTGGAGAGATACCACACGAATGTAAAGGATTTCTCCTAGAAGTCACTCCCCGCTGTACATCAGAAAATCCACACAAGATACCCTGTGAATGTAAAGAATGTAGGAAAACTCTATCGGAAGTCAGCGCTCACTCTACATCAGAGAATTCACACAGGGGAACCCTATGAATGTAATGAATGTAGGAAAACATTCCACAAAATGTCAGAACTAACTATACATCAGAGAACTCACATAGGATAAAAACCCTATGAATGTAATGAGTGTGGAAAATCATTTTGCCTGAAGCCAGTCCTCAGTATACATCAGAGAACTCACAAAGGGGTGAAACCCCTATGAATGTAGTGAATGTGGAGAAAACTTCTACCAGAAGTCAGGCCTGACTCTGCGTCACATAATCCACAGTTGAGACCCCATCTGAATGTAAAGGATGTAGGGAAACTCTACCAGAGGTCAACCCTCACTGCACATCAGAGCACACAGGAAAAATACGTTATCCATGTGCTGAATGTGGAAAATCCTTTTTCCACAAATCATATCTCAAACAGCATCAGATGGCTCATAGAAGGGAGAAATTCAGTGTGTCAGAGACTGGCTAGTGTTTCCACAAAAACATCCTCTTTTCTCTAAGACACAATTAGCCTGCATGTCTCAGCGTCCCATCATCATGGATGGTATCGTGTAACGGCTCTGCCGGGAGAATATGGACACACGCGGTGAACATTACTTCCAGGCCTGACAACAAAAAATGTCATCTGATTTCTCATGGCACCTTGGACTGAAGTGCAGATGGCAACTCCCAGGGTGGCCTTGGGAGCCACGGGTAAGAGAAGGCCACCCTGATTGAGGACAGAAGCAATTCACTGAAGAGAGCAGAAATCTTCCCACGTCTATGCTAAAATCCTCATTGGTACTTTATTTGAATAAGGAATTCCTCCTTTATCCACCCACTGTATACTGGCCTGTTTGCAGCAACACAAACAACACGTTGTAGCTAATTTGTGAGCTTTCTGAGAGAAGGTGCTAGTTTTTCGATATCAGGAAATTCACACAGGAGAGAAACCTGTGTTGTCACCTTTAATCCCAAATCTGTTTATGGAAAAGTCAGTTAAATGTGAGAAGAAACAACGTGACATATTTGGAACATCTTGTCGCAGGGTCATCTCACTGAATGCTGAGAATAAAGTGCATCTTTTTTTTTTTTTTTTTGAGACAGAGTTTCACTTGTTACCCAGGCTGGAGTGCAATGGCACGATCTCGGCTCACCGCAACCTCCGCCTCCTGGGTTCAGGCAATTCTCCTGCCTCATCCTCCTGAGTAGCTGGGATTACAGGCACGCGCCACTGTGCCCAGATAATTTTTTGTATTTTTAGTAGAGACGAGGTTTCACCGTGTTGACCAGGATAGTCTCGATCTCTTGACCTCGTGATCCACCTGCCTCGGCCTCCCAAAGTGCTGGGATTACAGGCTTGAGCCACCGCGCCCGGCCCATAAAGTGCATCTTTATGAAGACTTTTAATGTGTCAAAGCTTTCGAACAAGACTTCCAACAATATATGTCAGAGAATTTGAAATGAAGTAAAACTATCAATGTGTAATATAGATGTAAATTCCCTAAGAGAAATGTTAAACCATTGAAAGTGTGTAATATATTTGACCATATGTAGTTAAATATGAGAGATGGCATACCCTGCCAGGGGATATTTGGCCGTGAGGGGTGACGACTTTGGTTGTCACTGGAGGCTGGGAGGGGCTACTGGCACCCAGTGGGTAGAGCCCAGGTCGCTGTTAAACAGCCTGCCGGGCACAGAGAAGCCCCCTCAGTGAGGCAGCGGATGCGTATGAGTGTTCTATGTTAACAGAATTTTCCCCGATAGGACCAGGCATAATTGTGGGTAGGAAACATACACATTCGGTGTAATAAGTATTGTGACTTACATTAACATTTTCCACATTAAATGCCACTCCAGCCACTTTCTGGTTTGTTAAACACATTAGCCCGACAGTACCAAAGTCGGCTTTTTTTCCTACTCTCCTCGTGTATGTAAATTATTGCATCCAGTGTTAACAAATTGTCACTTAAGAAGATATTTTTCTAAAGCTCGATGCCAGCACAGTGCCAACCAATTAGTCTAATAGAAACATCATTCCCTGGCCGGGCACGGTGGCTCACGCCTGTAATCCCAGCACTTTGGGAGGCCGAGGCAAGTGGATCATGAGGTCAAGAGATCGAGACCATCCTGGTCAACATGGTGAAGCCCCGTCTCTACTAAAAATACAAAAAATTAGCTGGGCACGGTGGCGCGTGCCTGTAATCCCAGCTACTCAGGAGGCTGAGGCAGGAGAATTGCCTGAGCCCAGGAGGCGGAGGTTGCGGTGAGCCGAGATGGCGCCATTGCACTCCAGCCTGGGTCACAAGAGCGAAACTCCGTCTCAAAAAAAAAAAAAAAAGAAACATCATTCTCATAGAAACTCACACGTCAGTCATAACTGTTAACAGCGTAGGTCTGCATTTTTAAACACCTCTGAACAATAGTCCTGTTTTTATTCAACTCAGTGAAAAGCAGTCCCGAACAGACCTCTCCTTGTTCCTAGCCCTGGTATCTTTAATGGGACAGCCACATAGGTGTGAGTGTGTGCACCAGGTGCTGTGTGGCTGAGGGATCTCTGCATTTCACTTCTAGTGGTGGACAGCTGCACCGTGCCTCCGCAGTGACAGGGCCTGCGTGACGTGGACCTTAACCTCCTGGGGCTTCTATGTCTCCATATTCACTAAGTCATTAACAATAGACACTTCCTCAAAGGGTCACTGTGAGAAACAAAGTAGCACAGTGCTTTGAATACACGGACACTTGGCAAACAACATATTCACTAGAGCTGTGACCGTTTACAGAATCGCTCTGTCGTGAATTGAGGGGAGCAGTAAGCCACTGTGTGCCCACACCAGAGCCGTCTTCAGCTTTTAACAGTCTGGGTTTGGTTATGTTACTTCAACAGTTATTCCGGGATTTCACTTGGTTGAGGTTTTGCGATTGGCTCGAACTAGTGTTTCCTTCAGTGGTCTCTGGACTCAGCATATGAGCAGAGGTTAACTTTATAACAGTGCTCACCGCAGAACGTAGACATACGGCAGTCACAGCGCACAGCACTGACCAGAACACTGCTTCGAGGATGCCTACGATGGTGTCCTGGGCAGCTACAAGCACTAGAAATGAAGTTATTTATTATTCTCTTGTTTGAAGGAAATATGTTTGTATATTGATAAGCTGTCACAGCAATAAAACCTTCTTAGAGTCATAGCATGGCATCAGGTCTCTCTGTCCCTTAAGCCAGTGGTCCCCAACCTTCTTGGTACCAGGGACCAGTTTTGTGGAAGACAATGTTTCCATAGACTCAGGGTGGGGTGGGGATGGTTTCAAGATGAAACTGTTCTGCTCAGGTCATCGGGCATTAGATTCTCATAAGGCACGTGCAGCCTAGATCCCCGCACAGGCAGTTCACAACAGGGTTTATGCTCCTACGAGAGTCCAGTGCAGTGGCAGGCCTGGCAGGAGGCAGAGCCCAGGTGGTAATGCTCACCTGCCTGCTGCTCACCCCCTGCTGCTCACCCCCTGCTGCTCACCCCCTGCTGCTCACCTGCCTGCTGCTCACCCCCTGCTGCTCACCCCCTGCTGCTCACCCCCTGCTGCTCACCTGCCTGCTGCTCACCCCCTGCTGCTCACCTGCCTGCTGCTCACCCCCTGCTGCTCACCCCCTGCTGCTCACCCCCTGCTGCTCACCCCCTGCTGCTCACCTGCCTGCTGCTCACCCCCTGCTGCTCACCCCCTGCTGCTCACCTGCCTGCTGCTCACCCCCTGCTGCTCACCTGCCTGCTGCTCACCCCCTGCTGCTCACCCCCTGCTGCTCACCCCCTGCTGCTCACCCCCTGCTGCTCACCTGCCTGCTGCTCACCCCCTGCTGCTCACCCCCTGCTGCTCACCTGCCTGCTGCTCACCCCCTGCTGCTCACCTGCCTGCTGCTTCTGAACAGGCCACATTTCAGTGCCAGTTGGAACCCCTGGATTAAACTGTTAAAACAGATGCTCTTGAAATTGAATTGTTTGATTCCTCTCCCTGGTGATGATTGACTGAATTTGGTGAGTTGAGTGTCTAACTTCAGCTTCTTCTAATGGCACTTTACATTATGATTCTTGACCAATTGACTCCTAACCCATTCTGTCAGTCTGCTCAGGGTGCAGTAACAGAACACGGTAGTCTGATTACTTAAGCAGCAGATGCTCATTTTCTTACCGTTTTGGATGCTGCAAGTACACCAAGGTGCCAGCATGCCTGTGTCTGGTAAGGCCTCTCCACGGTGCTCCTGGAGGGAGAGAGAAAGCACTGGTGTCTCTTCCATGAATGTGAAGAATGTCACACCTTATTATACATCACAGAATTCACACACGAGAGACACCGTGTCCTCACATGACCTCTCCACGGTGCTCCTGGAGGGAGAGAGAAAGCACTGGTGTCTCTTCTATGAATGCGAAGAATGTCACACCTTATTATACATCACAGAATTCACACACGAGAGACACCGTGTCCTCACATGACCTCTCCACGGTGCTCCTGGAGGGAGAGAGAAAGCACTGGTGTCTCTTCCATGAATGTGAAGAATGTCACACCTTATTATACATCACAGAATTCACACACGAGAGAAAGCCTATGAATGTAGCGACTGTGATAGAACCTTCTGTGAGAAGTCAGCCTTCAGTGTACATCAGAGAACTCTGTCTCTTCCTCTTGTAAGGACAGCAGTTCTGTAGGGTTACGGCCCCACCTCATAGCTTCATTTGACCTTAAGTTCCTCCTTGAAGGTCCCGTCCACAAACGCAGTCCCCTTGAATGTTAGGGTTTCCCTGCGCAAGTTTTGAGGAGGCACAGATGCTGAGTCCTAACACCCACAGATTTGAAATATCATCTTCATCATTCACCACGAAGTACTAAATAATTATTTGGTGTGGCTGTTGCATTTGTCTGTCTAACACTTCTTGCCCACATTCTGTTCATGGGCCAGCTCTGTGGCCACAGCGGGGCATCTGATTCCTTTGTGTCTGCCATAATGCTGCATGTCCTGCCTGTACGGTGAGTCTTTCGTCCGGGGCGGAGAGTGACTCTCTCATGACAGAGTCTCTGTGATTGCCATGATCACCGACCTATTTGTCTGCAGGCCTGGAGCTGCCCACGCTATCAGGAGTTGGTGTTTACCGGGTGGAAGGAGAGAGGCTGCAGGCGGAGCTTTCTGATGGCCTGGAGGTCCTGGGCATCTGGCCACCTCTGAGGCCCACACCACCGCCTCCTGCAGTGACGTGCCGGTGTGCTTTCTTTTTTTGGCATACGCTGTACTGAGGCAGGTTGCTCCTGTTTGTAATCCAGTCCTGACCTAACTAAATGTATCTGGCCAGTGTCTGACCTTTTATTGATTTCACTGAACCATTTGCAGATACCTGTGCAAATACAAGAATGCCTAAATTACAACATAACGCTTCTTTCAGTATAGCATGGAGGAAAGATTTTATTTTCACCTCTCATTGAGTCTTAGTAGTATTTGAAAGCTGTTCCAACTTCCTTTCCACATTTAAAAAAAAAAAAAAAAAAAGCCTTCTCCGGCTTCTGGTCGGGTTTTTACTCAGTTTACATCTCATCGTGGCACGCACACATCACCAGGAGGCGTGGCCACTGCGGGCTGGGGGCCCAGGCTACAGATGCACTCATGGTGGTTGTGGCTACACTTACTTCTGTCCAGCAGCCCATCCCGGTGACGGCCTGCAAGCTACCCACCGGGGACAGCCCCCCTGGTCCTGGCCATGCTTCCAGTTGTCTCCCAAATACTAGTCAATACACGCAGACCTCAAATACCACGTTAAATACAGAGCTAAAGAGAAAGTGACTGTTACGTGTTTTATGGGGAAAACTAACCAAAATGAAGTCAAAATAACTGTCCCTACTCCAGACACAGTTGACTTTAAGGCAGAAAACATTCTTAGAGATAGGGCAAAATCGATACTGATTGGTCTGTCATTCTGAACATCTGTGCTCCCCACAACCCAGCCTTGGCATATGGAAGATGAGTCAAAGGAGTGGACAAACCCGCCATCACAGAGGGAGGCACAGTCTCCACTCACTTTGGGGCGGGTGCGCCTGCCTTCGCCTTTGGGTCATGCTGCTGTTCACCCAGGCTGACAGATGATTGGAGTCACTGGGCAGGCTCAGCCTGTCCCTCACAGCCAGAGCTGTCACACAGGCAGCTCTAGATCTCTGCCCGGGATGCTGGCTGAGCACCAGCCTGGGGTGCTTGTCTTTGAGAAGAGCCTCCCGAGTTCCCTCTGTTACGACATCTCCTTCAAATTCGGCACCCTCCCTGCTGGCACTGCTGCAGGGAATACAGGGCCAGGCGAGAAGGCAGCCTACCTTTCTCTTAGACCTTAGGGGCTGAGCAGTATGGTGCCGGATAACCTAATGTGCCATGGAGGGTGGGGACACGCACTGAGCACACACACCTTGGCCCATTTTCTGGCCCTAGGTGGGGCACCCTGCAAGGTACATTCATGGCTTAAAGGTTCCATGCCAGCTTCTCAGCTTTCCCAAGAACCTTGTGTGATAGTGTCTTTCCCAAGGACCATGCTGTCTTGTTTTGAGTTGCATTCCTTAATGAGGTTACATTGGGAGATTCTCTGAATTTAAATTAGACTGTCTTTCAAGGCAATTAATTTCTCTCCATGCCCAGAGCTCCCACCCTCACCTCTCCCCCCGGTGACCCCAAGGGCCCTCTCCACTGGCATCTGGGAGAATATTGTTAAACTACCTTTGATCCCCTCGTAGCACTGTTTAAATCCCTGCTATCCTGCAGTCTGTTTTATATGTGGCTTTCTGCCACCTGGTCTCATCCCTCTCCTCCAGTTTCTCGGCCCTTCTTGTTAATTCAAGGGCATTTGGTGCGCTCAAGTCAACATTAAAATGGAGAGATGAATCTCTGCACTCACGTTTCATTTGGGACACAAAAACTGCAACCTGGGGCAAAAACTCAGACCAGGCAGTCTCTGGTAAGTGTGAGGAGCAAAGAGAAGATGGCAGCTTTGATAAACATGAGAAATGTCACCCGTGGTCTTGACAGTTCATCGGTATTAGTGAAGTTTGGGGGAGGGGGGAGATGAAGCTGCTGAGCTAATGCGTTGGGTAAAATTAGTCTTCGAGCTGCTGCAGGTTGATTCAGCCACTGTTAGATAAAACTAATCTTCCATTAAAATAGGGTGTCTCCGCAGCCGGACTCGCAAGAAATTTCGTTTCTGGAGCGATGTTACGCGTCCCAGATGCTTTTTCCCTGGCTTCTTCACTCTGTTTTAATCGGGTATGACAAGTTCCCACGACCAACTTTCACAGTGCCTCGAGGCCTTACTACCAGCTGTCCCCTTGGCTAGAATAGCTTCCTCCCTCTGAGAATGTCTGCTTACCTTTTAGCAATCAGCTACAACATGACTTCTTCCAGGGACCCCCAGAATCAGGTCAGGCACTTCTAACCCCCACAGGGCTGCCACCCTGTCTTCTCTCACTCTTACTATATTGGCGATTAAATGATTAATTAGTGCTCATTGAAGACCTGCTCCCTCCCGGGGAGCATCAGCTCCCTGATTTTAGTGACTGTCTTGTTCTCTGCCGGCATATCATGCTCAATAAACGTTCGTCCCACCGATGAATGTGGACAAGACAGCTAAAAGGATCCAAAGTGGGCCAGCAAAATCCAAACGTTTGATTGAATAAATTTGACTGATGTCACTGAAATCATCCAAAATCCAGGATCCTCTAACAAACGCACTTACAGAGTAGTACAAACGTGTGACACATAAATCACATGGACCCAAAAACAGGGTCATCTACATAGTATCTCAGAACATGCTTTACTCACTTAAGGATATGTCATGGATAACGGCTAAATTTTTTTTAGATCTTCCTGCGTCCCATATACTCCAGGTCCTGGGCACTTTAACTCATTCGATACAACAGTTTATTACACAGATGGGCAAAGTAGAGCCCAGAGCCCCTGATAACTTGCCCAGTGCTGCACAGAAACCAAGTGACAGAGCTCAGATCAGTCCAGGATGTCTTGTTCCACGGCCAGAACTCTCAGCCACCGTCCAACACTGTGTCTCCGAGCAAGAGGCCCCTGCAAGACCCTTTCTCATCCTCTTAAGGGCCATGGGGTTGTCCTTTGTATGTATGAGCACTAATTTGCATAAGCAATT